ATCGCTGAAGTTTCTCGGAAAGAATTTCTACGGAAAATTTACAAACGACCAGAGACGTAACAATACAAGCGTTAATAAATAACACAACATAAATATCAATATTATTAATTCCAATAAATATAGGAATTAGAAAATAGAACTAGAATAAATAAACAATTAATTCCAAAAAATAATAATAATATCCCAAAATTAAACCACTTCTCAAAACCAATAACAACATCGAGCAATAATTAGTTGTAACTATATCTCGTAAATTAACTCATTTAAGATCAAGGAAAAGTTCTTATTTAGTGGTCAGACCATTGTGTTACACCTTTTATGACTAGTTATTATCGTAATTTACATAATCTTCCACAACATTAATATCTATATGTTACCGCTAGGGGAAGCTTGTGTCAGTTTCATAATACAAACATCACAAAAATCAACGTGCTCTAACTAAAAGTAGAATTTAGGAGGTGAGTTAGCGCTTATAATATAAGTTATATTATAACTAAAAATTCAAAGTTGAACTAAATGATAGAAGGAATAATATTAATAAATTAACGGAAAGAAAGCCATAACAAAATAAAAGTATAATTCGCTAAGTCACACCCATATTATTCTACATTTTAAATATACACGTAATTTACTACCTTTCATTTTCAATCAAACTCAAAGCCTGGTAATACTATCAGTAATACTAACTACTATGAAATTTCGTACTAAATCGGCGAAATCGTTCAGTTGTAAAAACTAAAATAAGATTAAGAGCTTAGGATATAAGTACGTGTCCAGCTGTTAACAGTTTGGCTCGCGATTGTTACAAATATTAGTAATAATAGTACTAGAAGTTAGAACTATGTTTGACCGAGGTAGTGTAATAACATTGTTTATTTGCTAGTGAGTTCTAATAATTTTTACAATAACTTATAAAATGAATAACAGAGGTAGGCCTAATATTAGTAGCCCTACTTTTCTTTACATATTATTATTATTAGGCCTAACGCCTGAAGTGTCACTCGTATTACACGATCAGTTTTTGCTATTTAAATTTTAATACAACTTAAACTTTAGAATATTTGATTTCATCATTCCCTATTTGAGTACTTCGAAGAGGGTCCATCTTAATACCGAAATACTTCAAATGTCTTACATTTAATATACCAAGGAAGATCAAGCTTTAACTGAGAAAATATGTTAGTGTTACTTGGGGGACACTTGAACTGGATCTTTGTGTGACCTAAGACTAACAGTATGGTATGATCACGATTCTGATTTTGATCTGTTTTGTATAGATGTTTTAGTACTTTGAACCAACTCTCCTGCCTCTGAAATCAGGTAGTAAAAAATCTACTTGCATTGATAATATTATTTATTCAGATTTGTGTTTTAACCTGTCCCTCCTAAACACAATCAAAGGGTGCTAATTCAAAAGTGGTGTGAGAAGAATGGTACGTGCTTCTTAAATTATTTCAACTATTGAATTATTCCTCTTGTCAAACTAAATGAAATGGGAAATGACAGACAAATAACAATTGCTAGTCAGTGAACTACATCTTAAAAATACTTGCACAATAGAAACAAAGTATACCAGACCTGATTGAATTAGTTTATGAATATGTACAGACACAATATAAGGATTAATGTGTTTTTTTAAGTTTTACCTTTGGTGAAAATGAAAAGAAATTTGACATGCATATGTTATCACAACATAACTTAATGTTTTGGGACAACATGGGACCTATTAGTCCATCTCAGCTGTTCCATCCTCTAAACTAAATTAAAATAATTTAAAAAATAAAATACAATCTTAAAGCCAGACCTTGTCATTCATAAACTTATCAAGCTTTTTCTTAAACTCACTTAAATTTACTGCACTACAACATTCAAAGGCCAACCACCCTGTTAGAAAAATAAAACCGTTTTAGCTGAAGATGACTCCTACCTTGCCAAAATTTATATTTGTGTCCCCTAGTCCTACTATTCTAACTGTTAAATATGAAAAAGATGATACATCAACACTATCAATTCCCGTTACAATCTTAAACACCTTAATAAGATTCCTCCTAACTTCTTTTTTCAACAAAAAACAATTTGAAAGGTTTCAGCCTCTCCTTGTATGATGACCCCTCCATCCTAGGCACCATTCTAGTAACCCTTCTCTGAACCCTTTCCAACAATTCAATCTTTCCTAAGGTAAGGAGCCCAAGACTGAACACATTATTCCAAATGTGGCCTAACCAGTGACCTATACAATGAAATTATAACCTCTTTAAACTTGTATTCAATATTTCTGTAGATACAACTTAAAATCCTATTTACCGTGCCACTAGCAACAGCACACTGATTGGATGGCTTTAGAAACTAATCAACTATTACACCAAGATCCCTCTCCTTCATAACACTGTTAAGGTTATTCCCATCTAAATTATACTTATGATAACCCACATGCATTATCTTGCGTTTATTATAATTAAAACCCATCTGCCATTTATTTGTCTAACTTGCTAAATGATCTAAATTCTTTTGTAAATCAGCAGCATCCTCTTCACAGCTAACAACACCCAAGACCTTAATATCATCTGCAAATTTGAGTAATTTGTTGACCATTCCTTCATCTGTGTCATTGATGGAAATCAAAAATAGCAAAGGTCCTAAGACTGAAACTATGAAAGTGTGATAAGTGGTAGAGGAGACTTTATATTAACAGAGGAATACAAACAGCATTATTGTCAACCAGAAATTTGGTTAAATAAAAGTACAGAGGAAAGTAAGGTCTTTCAAAAACTACTAAGGAGCTCAAATAGGAATGATTTGAAATTTTGTACATCATATGACAGAAAACTGAAAGTATACTACTGGCACCTGCCACAGGCAAAAACCAGGACAAAGAAGAAAAATAAAAATAGAATGAACAAAGACATGGAGAAAAAATCAAATTACCCACAGATAAATTTTTATTATTTTCATGCTACATTTTTTGAGATGAGAAATCAATGTTTATGCAGTATACATATGTTTGTAATCTAAATAAATTCTATAGTCTTTAGCAGGCCTTAAACCTAACCTATATCATTGGTAGGCTATCATCATTTATCTGAATATGTATAAGGGCCTCCCATGTAACACACTATGTATTTTTGACACAATTATACATACACATTTTGTGTCCAATAGATAACGTTTTTCCTTTGTGTGTTAACTATGTTATTCTAACACAACATTTGCTGTGTACTTACAAGATAAATGCTGTATGTGGTGAATACATATTACACAACATTACTATAAGTATAAATATCAAAGTGTATGACATCTCAAGAGTAATTAATTTAATACATACATATATTGTAATTAGTAAGAGAAAATTGTTGAATTTTATCTATTTCATTAGACAGTTTATGAGATTGGTTGTGGTTTTTACACATGAGCTAAAATTTGTAACCTAATTATTAAATTACATTTCTTCTTTAATATACTAAACAATAAACATAAAATGATTTGATAATACTACCACTTACTGAAATATATAAGTATTTTTGTGGATGATACATTTTATTAAATTTTGATTTTCAATAAGAAAACACAAATTGACATCAAATTCATTCAGTAATGAAAATTGTGTCACTCAGTAAATAACATAACTAGCCCAGGTTTTTTCTATAGGGCAGGGGAAAACTCCGTCCTTTCTCTTAGATTTCTTGCAAATGGGAGTGTTTTATTTCTGGATAGTAACTCTTTTTATGTGAAAAAGCCCCACGTCAGTCATGGAATAAAATCTCACCTCAAAAAGAAAAACCCTTGATAGCCTATCAGCAGATATTATTCTGTAGGCTGAAACTATGAACTATATTCAGTCATTTGATTCTTTTGTAGCAAGAGTTAGAAAAATATTTTGTATATAAAAAAGGAGTACAACAGAGCATTTAATCCATTAAACTCTGACAGAATTATTACTAAATTTAACACTGATCAATAAACCAAACGTAATCTTTCACAGCATAACCATACAGGGACTTCTAGTAAGAAAATCTAATCCAAGCTGTCATCATGCAACGCATGTTAAATTTCTATAATGTTGATATCATTTTCTTAAGAATTTTCATAAAATGTTTCATATAAGTTTAGTTGGTACACACATCTTGTTTAAGTAAAAATTACGTAAATTGGAGAGAGAACTGTTTAGAGAGTACAAATAGATTAAAGTCATAATACTCTTGAGATCTGTTTTTGTTTGATTTTCATCTGTGATATTTATGGAGATTCTATTTCTCTTGTACCTGAAGCCTAATGGTGCTATGATTTTAGTTGGGTGTAGAGCTTGTTTGTAGTTTTAGAACATTTTTTACAAGTGCTACATATAGTGTTTAAAGATACTGAATATTAAAACACCTGAAGTGCAAGAACAATAATGTCCTTGCAGAACTTGTGAACTGTTGCCCAGAAAAAATGGTTGGAAACCTGTAAAAACAAGGTTAGTTAACTTTAAGAAGAATTATTTTAAGGGTTAATTATGTACATTTTATATGAATTAAAATCTAAATATTCGAGTATCAATATCAGAAAAAATGACAAAAATATGTTAGTTGGTTTAAGCCCTAATGAGGTAGAACCTAAATGAGTATGTAGTACACCTGTCTGTTTGTAGAATACAGAAGATAAACTTGTGATCACTATCATCATGAAAATAGCAGCTAAGTGTTAATATCTAGAAAGAAGAAAAGTAACCAATAATTATACTTATGTGATCACTTAGGATACTAACCATAATTGAATATTATGATATTAAGAATTCCCTGGTGTTGAGAATGAACAGAAGGAAGTACCCCAAAAATGCCCTAGTTAAACCCTGATGTGACCTAAATTTAATGTAAAGTGTGTGGGTATATTTTTTATAATAGCTACGTGCTAAAATTAACAACATGTATGGTTTCCATATTATTTTTTCAAGTTGTCATGATTTCACCCACAAGTATCAAATCCAAGGTTAAAAAGGACAAGTGTGGAGAAGTAGTTGCCTACAGTGAGGGAGCTGTTCGGCAAAATGCTGCAATTGTAGAATATTGTCGTATTTCTATGTCGGCTCTGTCTGGTAGTACAGCTGGGCTCCTTGGACTGACGGCTTTATATGGATTTGCATTTTACTTTATGATGGCACTTGCTCTGTGGATGATGTTGATTATGAAAATGGGTTCTGACTGGAAGAAATACTTCAGAAATCGAACTACATTACTAACAAGTGGACTCTTTGGAGGTCTGTTTACGTACGTGCTGTTCTGGACATTTTTATATGGAATGGTTCACGTGTACTGAGAGTGTTGTGTGAAATATTTCTTCGTTTGCTTTAGTTTTCCCAAAGCAAGAAAACATCCATCATGTTATGTAAATGTACATTTGTTCGACTTTAATGAAAGCAATATTGTAAGATTGACGTTGTCGTTATTACTTAATTTATTACCAGTTGAATGTGTTATGTACTTGTAGTGGTTATTGCTGATAATGAAAGAAGGTATAAAGTGAAGTACCTGCAGTGAATTAAAATTTCACATAAATAAATGTTCATCTTTTTACATGTGCATCTTTCTTTGACTTTTTGGTGCTTGTTTTCATTACAAAATAAGTGTATCTTACTATAATGAACTTAGCATGTATGTCAGTATCTTTGTATATAACCAAAACTCCTGTGACATCTATTGAATGGCACCACAAATAAAAATTTCACACTTTGGGATTAAAGATTTAGACAATTAGAAAAAATAACTGTGGTATGTGTAACAACCATTTCTTTATAATAGAACACAATTTTAAATAAAATTACTCTCCTCACAACGAGAACATGACTTTCACTAGGACTGTATATAAGGGTTTGATTATATCTTTATTGATATAATTTTTAAATATAGTACTGAGAAAATGGAGTTCTTTAAAAAAATATTATTTTTCAGTAAACAGTACGACTTTTAATTACTAATCAGTAATTACTAGCACAAACAACCCCCATAGAGTGGCATTTCTGCTAGTAATAATAATGTCAAGAAAAGTAAGCTATTTGAATTGTGATGTATGCAGTACATGTAATGACATTACAGAACAAAATGTAATGGAGGGACAAGTATTTATATTTCTAGTCATCCATAAAACCACTCCACACTGAGGGGCCATGAGTGTGTTATAAGAGTGATGGTCAACTCCCAATATTCAGTGAGTTATTTATGGTGCCTCCCATCTAGCTTATCAGTTTAAAATTAGGAATAACTATATACAGAGAGTTTTCATTTAATTTTGTCCAAAATATTAGAACTTACACTATTGTCTTAAGGTTTATGTCCTTTGAAAATATCAGTATGAAAACTGAATGCTCATAAGGGTGATTGTTTTTACTGTATTGGATATACATAGATAAAGTACAATAGACGCTTCTGATATACATAGATCAAGTAGATGCTTCTGTGAAATATTAGCAAGTAATGTTTCTGTCATGTTATGTAATTTAGAGTTTTTTAGAATGTTTATGGTATTTTATCACAGATGTCTTTGGGGGTCAGTTATATGGTAATATTAAAGATAAAGGGGTTTGTTAAGTATTAAATATTTCAAGAGTTTAGATTTATATTTCACTGCTTAACAAACATTAAGGCTAAACTTAGTCCCTAGAATTTATGTTATTATAACAATCTGTATTTGGTGCTATTCTATCCAGATTCTGATTTTTCCATTTATATGTTCTATATAATGGGTAATGGAGGTTTTTTTCAATTATTAAGTATTAATCCATCAGATACTAAATGTATTTTTAAAAAATCATGAGTCAGTTGATATTGACCATCATATTTTTTGTATATTTATTTAGAATTTTACGTTAATAATACTGTTACGAACTTGGTCACTTTCTTCTAGGCTAGGGTTTAAGGGTTGGGGTTTCCTGACAGGAGGAATGAAATATGAGAGTTTCATGGCTTTGTAAAGTGTGAAAACCTTTGACCTTAATAATAATTTAAGAACAGTGCTATTGACATCCATACAGTATGTGCCATATTAAGTAATGTTCTCTCCAGGCAGTAACAAGTATTATCTACTTACAAGAACAACAATGGTTAACTTGAAACTAGATCAACTTGATGGTTTTCCAGCCACATGTCATATTTCTCAATATAAAGATGATGAAAACTTGTACATTGTATGTGATATTTTTATCCACTCCATCTCTTGAAGCTAAAATAAGGACACTTTCTAAACTACAGTTGTGGTTGTTTTCTAAGTAGTTGAAAGTAAATAAATCAAACAGTCTAGGAGTAATAATGGTGGTTTACTTGCTGAAAACAAGTGTTGCATGTATATTATATAATTATACAAATAGTTTATATGTATAGATGAGATAAATTATACTTCTGAATATGTGTTGATCTTTCTTTGTTTCGTATGAAAATGGATTTTTCTTAAAAATAGTATTTTCAACCTACACGCTACCTTATCCATATGTGGACTAGATGGCAGTATCAGAGAGTCCTAGGACTTAGGTATAACTACACCTAGTTTTCAGTTACTGACAAGAGAAAGAGAGAGGGCAACCAGCCATCAGTCCCACTGTCCACAAGGGTATTGATCAGGTCTTTAAACCGGTAATTGGACTGACTGTTACTTTTATATTGCACCCACAGCTGAATGAAATGTATAAAGCAGTGTCACATATTGATGTATTGAACCCTGGATGTTTTGACCCACAGCGAGACATAATAATTACTAGGCCTGACCAGTGGATGAAGGACTTGGGGAGTCTAAAGCAGATCCAGAGCAGATACAAAAGAATGCATCTTTTGACACACACCCTTTTTTTTTCACTTGTATTACTACTATTGTTAAAGATTTGAAGACGTTGACAGCCAAAGTTCACTTAATATATACAGGTTATCCACTCTTGTTGATGCCTTTGAAAATAAAGGTTTCATTTTATAATATCAAATTATGTCATTTCAGAAACAGATTTATTGCTGCATAAAAATTTTCAACTGCTTCATAAGCTGTATGTACTACACTTTCAAGACAACAAACAAGCAGTTTTAACTAAATTATCCTTATAAATCGCTTTATTCACACCGAAAAACCAAGCAGTTATCAAAAATAGGAGTTTTAACTAGATATACTTCTGCAGTGTTTCCGAAAGTGTTCTGTTTCAAGAGTAAATAAAACCAAAATTAACAGTAACAAATATTTTTATTTCTTGCCTTTGAAATTCATGTCATGCTGTGTTATAGTCTAAAGAAAGCATAATTCTTCTCGTGATTAATGGCATGCGCACGTTTTGCTGACGTCACAGTACAAATTGCAACGTTAAGCGTTCCTTATGTGGCGTCATTTTAGTGTCTACTGACTGACAACACACTACTTTGTAATGGTGCTAGTGTTTAAAACAGGTGACATCTTTCGGAAAAGTTACAGAGTGGAGGTGAAGAGAACAGGGAAATTGTGCTTCCTTTATGTGTAACCTGCAAACC